GTTCTGTGAAGCGCTTTGGGACGTCCTCCCGACGTGAAAAGCGCTATATCAAATGCAAGGATTATTATTATTATTATTATTATTAAAGACGGAGAGAGGTGGCGCTTACTTATTCGCCAGCTCCATTATCTTTACTTCACTTTAGGCCTGGTTCCAGCTCCAGAGGTGACAAACATGTGCAACATGTACAACACCATCATTCAATATGAGCGATGCATTATTGTATCCGTGCATCAAAGCAAATCTGTCACTCCTCTGTGGTCAATAGGGGCCATTTAGAATCTGGATAAGTTCATCCTCTTGTCCTACAGCTTGCACACAGATTCCTGCCCACTGAGCAATGGTTCCACCAGTTAGAGGTGCGGAGCTGGATTATTTGATGAAATAAATAATAATTCAGTCACTCACTCAATCCGAGACTGTTTGTGGGACATTGCTGTGCGCGATGGGCTGCATTTCACACACAATTACACAAGTCAAACCATTTACAATATATTCTGTGACATCTTGAGACGTCTCAATAAAGTGATAAGGCACTATACCAAATGCAAGGATTATTATTACTGTAAATTATACTGAAGCACTGATCTGCTCTGCCACCGTACAATCTAGATTATCGTCTCATCCTCCAGTGGAGCATTGAGTAGGCTCTCAGTATCTTAATAATAATAATAATAATCCTTGCATTTGATATAGCGCTTTTCACGTCGGGAGGACGTCCCAAAGCGCTTCACAGAACACACCATAAAGTGAATTGACTGTATATTTGTGGGCGAACGCGGCAGCCAATTGCGCACAGCAATGTCCCACAAACAGTCATAGATTGAAAATGACCAATTTATTATTGTTTTTGGTTTTGGAGGGATTATTATTAGGTGTGTGGAGTAAGGAAACTTGCCCAAGGTTTCGCCCTGACCTGCCTAGAATTGAACTCAGGTCTCTCGCTTGCAAAGCGAGTTCTCTAACCACTGAGCTACAGGACTCCACAATTAATTCTGATTGGCAAATATATAGCCCTCATTTACTATCAAACTGCAACAAAACCGATAGGTTTGGAAAAAGCATAACGTGTGGAAGCTAAATATTGCAACAACAACAACAAGATTTCATTTATAGAGCACCTTTCACGTTGGGAGGACATCCCAAGGCGCTGTACAGTTGGGTCAGGACCCGAGCAGTGGGGAAATGGTCAGGCTGAGGGGAGGGAAGGGAGGGAGCGAGGAGGGGGTAGAGAGTCGAGAGGGGAGCTGAAGGCACGGTCAAAGAGAAAGGTCTTGAGACCGGCCTTGAAGGAGGAAAGAGAGGAAGCGGCGAAGGCACTGGGGGATGAAACAGAATGCCAGAGAACCAGGAATGAAGGAAAAATATGTTTGCTCAAAGTCAAACATAAAAACAGAAATTGTCTGGTCATTTATCTTATTGTAGGTACTACTGTGTGCACACAGCATCATCTGCTGGCAATTGTGTGGTACGGCAGTTATTTTGTAAATTATGTGAAAAACTAGGTGCAGCCATCTTCTCAAGCTACTGGCGATTAGTGGAAAATACAGAAAGAGGAAGGAGAAACGGAAGAGATAATGCTGGGAGTCAGCACAGAACCACAAAATGTTAAGTGAGGGACCCGTGTTCAATTCCAGGCAGAGGGCGAAACCTTGGGCAAGTTTCCTTACTCCACACAGAGCCTAATAATAATCCCTCCAAAAACCCCAAACAATAATAAATTGGTCATTTTCAATCTACGACTGTTTGTGGGACATTGCTGTGCGCAATTGGCTGCCGCGTTCGCCCACAAATATACAGTCAATTCACTTTACAGTGTGTTCTGTGAAGCGCTTTGGGACGTCCTCCCGACGTGAAAAGCGCTATATCAAATGCAAGGATTATTATTATTAAGAGCACAGAAACAGGCTGTTCGGCCCATCAATGTTTTCGAGTTTCTCCAGGCTTCTTGGCCAACAATTCCCCCAAATAAAATTGGTTACTACAGCTGTTCGTGGGACAATGCTGTGCACAAATCAGCTGTCACATTCACCTACAAAATACACACAGTCAACCAGTTTAGAGTATATTCTGTAACGTGCTTTGAGATGTCTCGACGATATGATAAACTTAATCAAATGCAAGGATTATCATCATCATTAAATCTATGCTGGTGATTATCTCCACTAAGCACTTAATCTTATTCCACTCTCCTCATTCATTATTCTATTTTCAAGTATGACGTGTAACTTTGTTGACAATTATTGACCATCTTCTCACCAGTGAATATAAAATATGACTCTCTGCCACTGTCCAGTCCAATCAATCTCCATCGTCTCGCTGGTCTTCAGATGACGTGGATAGATCACTCATTTGATACAGGTGGCAGACATTCAAATTCACTCCCCTAGGAATGGCTTAACTGGGTTACTTGCTGAATATATATATATTAAAATAAAGGAAAAATAATTGAGGATATCGCAAAGTACTTGACACTGCTGGCTGGGCAACCAAGTTGGGCATGGGAGCCAAAGGGAATAGGGAAGGGAAAAGATTATCAAAAGTGTGGTCAAAGAGTTACATTGTGAGAATCGCATGAAAGAGGGGAAGGAGGAAGCTCATCAGAGGGAGTCCAAGATGGAATTTCAGGGCTCAGGGGCAGAATGGCTGAAAGCCCACCCGCTGGTAGTGGGGAGAATAGGGCAGAAGACATGAAGCAAACCAGTGTTTGCTGAGCAAAGAGAGCAGCCAGGTTGGTATGGTTGACAAAGTTTGCGGGGTTTGGGTGGGGCAAAACCATAATAATAATAATCCTGGCATTTGATATAGCACCTTATCACATCTTCAAGATAATAATAATAATAATCCTGGCATTTGATATAGCACCTTATCACATCTTCAAGAGAATAATAATAATAATCCTTGCATTTGATATAGCGCTTTACGCGTCAGGAGGACGTCCCAAAGCGCTTCACAGAACACACTGTAAAGTGAATTGACTGTATATTTGTGGGCGAACGCAGCAGCCAATTGCGCACAGCAATGTCCCACAAACAGTCGTAGATTGAAAATGACCAATTTATCATTGTTTTTGGAGGGATTATTATTATTAGGCTCTGTGTGGAGTAAAGAAACTTGCCCAAGGTTTCGCCCTGACCTGCCTGGAATTGAACTCAGGTCTCTCGCTTGCAAAACGAGTGCTCTAACCACTGAGCTACAGGACTCCACAATGTTATTATTGAATCTGCTTCCACAACCCTTTCAGGCAGTGCAATCCAGACTGTAATAATTTGCTGCATTAAAAAAAAGTCTCATCTCCCCTCTGGTTCTTTTGCCAATTATCTTATCTGGTGGATTGTCTGAAGTGCTTTGAGAAGTTCTCCTTATGTGAAAGACATTCATAATTTCAGACTGTTATATTAACATAAAAACTAACATTACATGTTTTTTTGCTTTGTCTGGGTAATAGAAAAAAAACGTGAAACTGGCAGCCCACACTCCTCTTCATTAGCAACTTCATACGCTATTAACAGAACATGGGGGAAATATTCATTATGCAAATAGAGATCATGTATTACATCAGTTATGCTAATGTGAATTTCATATGTAAATTCTTACCAGAATAAATGTCCATGAAACCTGAAGGCTATACTCATTATGCTAAAACTAGAAGAGTTTATTGTGTGTTGATTAGACAATTAAAATAATTACCAAACAGACTCCCTTTTTGCCCTGAAATGCTATGTAGCCAAGTTGCAGACTTAACGAATTTCAACAACCAACCTCAAGATTGTACATCTGTGTATCATTAGGATACAAAGAATGATCAGAGAAATGAATGAGTATTGGCGATCATAAAATTCTTATCTGATCAAAACTGCACCCAAATATTATGTCAGGAAGCAGCATTTTTCTCCTCAACATTACTGGTCAGTGTGTCACCTTCATTTTTATAAATATTCATCTACCTTTATTGAAATGTTTGACTTAACGCCTTTTTTAAACAATCAGTCAAAATTAATTTATAACTTTAATGTTATTTGAAACAACTATTTCTATCCTTATGTCCCAGAATTGACTGTATTAATGAACTACATCTTGAATATGGTCAGGACTTCAATAAAACTAACTCCAGAGCTGCACTTTAAGAACAAAGCCGAAAGTTTTCTTGAACATCACTATGAGCACTTTATTATTGCATTACGCCACAAGCAATTTTCTGTTGATAGGACGATACAAGAGGCTTCCACAGTGAGCACTCTAACCAAAACAGTTATCACTAGTAATAGCACAATCCATTTTCTTTGTGTATATAAATCCATATTATTTATTAAATATAATTTGGTCACTCAATCTACGACTGTTTGTGGGAGACTACTATGCACAATTGGCTATCGTTAATATTGTCAATTCACTTTACAGTATGTTCTATGAAGCACTTTGAGAAGTCCCTACCAATCTGCCCGCTCCCTCCGTTCATCGGGCTCCGATCTGCTCCATGTCTCCCGCCCGACCCGCCCTACCATCGGTGGCTGGACTTTCAGCCTCTCAGGCCCCACACTCTGGAACTCTATCCCACGGTCCCTTCGCCTCGCTTCCTCCCTTGCCTCCTTCAAGGCCGGTCTCAAGACCCTTCGACTGTGCCTTTGGTCTCCCTCCCACCTCTCTGCCTTCCCTCACCCTTACACCCCGCCTCCCCCATGCTCGGACCCCAACACCTGACCGTTCAGCTCTTTGGGATGTCCTCCTGACATGAAAGGCGTGCTATAAATGTAATTTTGTTGTTGTGTTGTTGTTGTCTCAATGACGTGATAAGACGCTATGTCAAATGCACGCATTATTATTACATAAATCTGACAATTTTGTTGCTTACAAAACACTATAGAGGTTGATCAAGTATCAATACTTACAATCTTTTATGGGCATAACTGTCACTGAATTTATATTATATATTGTTCCTTTAGTGGGATGCCAAACCTGTGAGAAAATTAAAAGTAACAAAAGCGACATAAAAAAACAGATACAAGTTCATGATTTTATTAGACATTTCGGAAATCAGCAGTACTGTTTCAGCCCACAAAACAACATTGAATTTTAAATGTGTGGAATTACAATTGCGTCTTTTAAGAGGAACAAGCCAAGACTTATACTAAATTCAGACTGTTTATAAGGAAATTCTGCTAATAAATAAGGCTGATGAATGATTGCAAAATAACTGACTAAATATTTGAGGATTGACAGACAGCGTGGTAAATTGTGATGCTCATTCACGAACTGGATATACAGTAAAACTGCAAAAACATTGCCAATTTGCAAAAAGTAACATTATAATCGGCATCGACTGAGGAAGATGCAAACAATTTTCTCCTTCCCTTCAACTCTTTTCAATAGCAACACCACCTGGTAATTAATTGACCCCAAAAGATTCCCAATACCTTTGCAATTCCCACTGAATAGTCTACTTCTCCAGGTGCAACTCACCAAACCAGGCTGGCCTATCCCCAGGCTTAAGGAGTACAGCTGATCTGCCTGGCTCATATACTGAACTGCCAAAAACACTACACAGGACTGTTTTAATACCACTCTTCCACAGTTGCATTACTTTCTGATATTGTTCTGGTAAAGTATGTGAAGTAAGGATAAGGACTCTTATCATATCAGATGAGGTAGAAGGCATCAGCACACCCTCGGTCTGGGATATGTCCTGATCCTCAAGCCGTGTTGTTGGTAATACCTTCACAATTCATGGAAGTTACAGGTTTAACAAATTATAATTACAAATTTACATACAAGATTAGGAATTTGAATCTGGTACAGCTTGCTTAAGCTCATCTGGTGCTGATGTGGAGCTGTATGTAAAAGGCTTAGAAGCAGAGGAATACACTGTAGGACTGATTATCCAATAGATACCATCAGATACTGCTCTAGTGGAGACTACTTTTGGAGACTAGGGGGAAAGATTCTCCAGCATTTCAGCAATTTTGCCCAAATTGTGCCCATTTGAATCACCTTCAGTGGCCCAGATGCTAACCTCTTTAATAGAATCAAAAGAGCAATGTGGTCTTGTTCATTGGAATAAATTAGCTTCTTCCAGTCTTACCTTTTGGAGCCTTATTCAAAAGCCCACATTTGACTGACTGAAAAGCAAGACACACAGGGCAACGTATGGTCAAGGGCATTTCATATTCAATGCAGGACCATATCAGCTTTGGAGTATAGCATATCCAAAGCTTTCTTTTCTTTATAAAAAAAACTCTTTCCTTGGTCTCAATGTGGTAACTGTCATTGGGAGGGCAACCTACTCTCAAAATTACATCAATGCCATTTCGATGCGGTTACTGGAGTTACTGGGTGATGCAAGATTAACCCAGAGATAATTAAACTTAAGCTATTACTGGAATGGTTAGTTATAGCATTCTTCAGCAACTCTGCAATTTTTTAAAAAATATAAATACAGTGTGTTCAAGGAAGGATGAAGTCCACATTTTTTATTCTGTACAGGAATCAGTGTTTCGCAGAATGCTTTTAAGGCAAGCTATGCACATGAAAGATTTACTTGCATTTCATTAATGCATTCAGCTTCTTTAAAACTCTGGATTAAAAAAAAATCAAGAGTATATACACAAGATTACTCAAGCAAAAATATACTACATCTCAAAAGTGGCAAAGCTATGTAAAATGGCAACAGATTTCCTCTTGTGACAAAGCAAATCCAACCAATATATATCCCTGACTGACGTTAGTTGCTCTGACACAATGCAGGAAAGAGACCACATGATTCTACATTCAGTCTATTAAAAGGGTCAGGCATCTGTACTGATCTCTGTTGGATAAGCAACCTACTTTTATATGTAAAATGAAGAATGAGCAGTTGTTCTACTATGCCTAACACATTCACTTTAATTAATAGATCACACTTAATAAGTGTACACTTTTCACAGTGGCATGATGACAATTTTCTGGAGTTCCAAATTTCTAAATATCCTAAATTTGCTGACCCGAGATTTTATAGCGAATGCAAAAAAATGCTTACAATATTTCACTTATACAAATCGAGCTGCTGCAATCTTAAAATTCATGTTATTCATCTTATTAAAATATTTACAAAACCTAATTTTAACAAGTACGTTATCATGACAATTCACATTTTTTTCGAAGTGAAAACTACTGTAAGACTTTTCTAACTAAAACTCTTGATAACAATAATTCTTGTTGGTAATATTTCCTGACTATTGTGCAAACCCACATTGAATAATTCTTGGTAATGTACAATAATTGATCAGAAAATGTTCATACAGGTTTGCCAAAGGCACGTGGATTGTGTGCCTTCATAAGGCCACCTTTGCTCCTTTCTTGGTACCACGGGTTTATTTGGACCAGTGGTCAATCATAAAAACCCACAAGATGTGCCAAGAGAGATCTGGTCTTCAATTTGTCCCACTGCTTCAGAGTAATAGGTTTATCATCATTTTGTAGGTGGTTCTGCAATGATTTAAACAAAAAGCACTGTCAATGATTTAAACGTAAAAAGCACGAGAATGTAATTTCTAATAATTATCCTTGCATTTGATATAGCGCCTTATCATGTTGTCAAAAAGTCTCAAATGCTTCACAGAATACACTGTAAACTGGATTGTGTAAACGAAACGCGGCAGCCAACTGCACATAGCAGTGTCCCACAAACAATCGTGGATTGAGTGATCAAATTATTTTTATTGTTTATTTTTGAAGGGATTACCACCCCCGGAAAAGCGATCCACCAATCGACTAACACTGGGTTCTGATGTACTGCTAGGTAAACAGAGGCGTGCGGAGTAAGGAAACTTGCCTAAGGTTTCGCCCCACCTGGGAATCGAACCCAGGTCCTCATGCTTTAACATAATTTCTAAATTCAAAACATGCAGCCATTTTAATTCTTATTTGCTGCTTTAAGATTCATCTTCATTCCTCCATTTGTAAATATTACTCTAGTTTCAATATTAACATTGCTTATAAGACAAGAGAGAAAGCGAATGACTGGCTCCTTCAGAAAGTGAATAAAGGACCAATTTTGTAGTCAAAAATAAAAAAAATTGAGAGTTCACTTCTAAATTATAACAAACACAAATCAAAATCAGACAAATCTTGTTGTAGAGCAAATATATCAAATCCATTCAAAGATCTTAGATTTGCATTTGTGAACAAAATACCACAATGATCCAAAATAGATTGAAAATAATCAGATGGAATAAATTGAGGATACATGAAAAAAAAATCCACGTTCCTAATTCCAGCATTCAAAATGGCCAGGCAGCTACCCCTCTTAAGCTTTCAATTTTTAAAACATTTATTGTGTAAAATTGTTTTTATAATTTACTCCACATTGGCCAATGTCTCTGCTTCCTGCTCTGGCCTCCTTATATTGAGATGTGGTTCCACAAGCTCTGGTTTCCCTCCGGTATCCAACCCAAGTGGTCATTGTATGCGAGGCTCGACAGTGAGTGTCAGCAGACAGTGAATGTCCTTTCTCAGACCTGGGCCAAATGGCTTCCTTCTGTGCTGTAAATTTCTACGAAGCTAGAGAACATCACAATCGAACCAGATCTCTCCCCACATGCCTGCTGCATGGCGAAGAAAGTCAGAACCAGGAAACTCAGCTGATTTTACTCTCCCTAAACCATGGAAAAGCTGGGGCCAATTTAGCCTCCTGCTTAGACCAGCATCAGCAAGGTCCTGGTCTGTGAGCTGCAGCTCTCTCTATTACAGCATCTGGGTTCTAAATGTTCTAAAATATTAGATAATATTTTTCTCTAGTTATTTCTCTCCACCCAATATTGTCACCTCCATTTGGTGAATATGGCTCCATAGATATTGGGCATCACCAGGACCATATCCAGATAATAATAATCCTTACATTGATAAAGCGCCTTATTACGTCTTCGAGACGTCTCAAAGCGCTTCACAGCATATCCTATAAAGTGTAGAGAATATATTTTGTGGGAGAAATGCGGCAGCCAATTGCAGTGTCACACAAACAGTCGTGGATTGAGTGACCAAATTATTATTATTATTTCTTTTTGAAGATTATTACCCCCGGAAAAGCGAACCGCCAATCGACTAACAATCAGCTTTCTACTTACAGCTAGGTAAACAGTAGTGTGTGAAATAAAGAAACTAGCAGTTTCACCCTGACCTGCCCGGGAATCAAATCCAGGTCTCTCATTTGCGAGGCATGAGCTCTCTAACCAGAGCTACAGGACTCCATTTCTAACTGAAAGAGCAAGCAGCAACCTTGAGTTAATATTTTTCCGTATCAACAACCCACCAATGAAACCAGGAGATGAACCTGCAAGACCCCAAATGTGTATGGGGCCCGTTACTCAGTGAGCCTTTAAGGCAGTAGCTCTGGTTTTCTACAGATTAAGGAAAGCTTAGCAGGTTTTATTCGAACAGGCAACATGTGAGCAGAGGTTTGGGACTCATCCTTGGATCCAAATAGCTAACTTAGCACAGATGCACAATTAAACCTGCAAACTTCTTGCCTGCACATTTTACTGCTCACTCGATAATGTTTTTACCCACTAGACTATGGAGAAGCTTCGAGAAAGCTTTTAACACCACCATATATAAGGTCATTTTTAAAATCAGGTTTATTATTGGTGGATATGATGTTTCTCAAAAGGAGGCCAGTTGCTTGATGGGGGATCATTATATTAATGCAAAACAATCACCTAAGTGTATCTACAGGATTAAAATGAAATGGCTCACCGAGAATGTTTGATGTCTACATAATACACAACTGTGGCAGACACAAAGCCACACTTCAGTATGAAGTTTCATTATTAAAAAAAAACTGACCATTTTAAGGAGGAATAATACCTTTGCCCAGTGAAACCGCAGTTGTGCCCTCCGCTGGCGAGGCACCCTGGCCCTCCGCTGGCGAGGCACCCTGGCCCTCCGCTGGCGAGGCACCCTGGCCCTCCGCTGGCGAGGCACCCTGGCCCTCCGCTGGCGAGGCACCCTGGCCCTCCGCTGGCGAGGCACCCTGGCCCTCCGCTGGCGAGGCACCCTGGCCCTCCGCTGGCGAGGCACCCTGGCCCTCCGCTGGCGAGGCACCCTGGCCCTCCGCTGGCGAGGCACCCTGGCCCTCCGCAGGCGAGGGGGCTTTGCCCTCCGCAGGCAAGGGGGCTTTGCCCTCCGCAGGCGAGGGGGCTTTGACCTCCGCAGGCGAGGGGGCTTTGACCTCCGCAGGCGAGGGGGCTTTGACCTCCGCAGGCGAGGGGGCTTTGACCTCCGCAGGCGAGGGGGCTTTGACCTCCGCAGGCGAGGGGGCTTTGACCTCCGCAGGCGAGGGGGCTTTGACCTCCGCAGGCGAGGGGGCTTTGCCCTCCGCAGGCGAGGGAGCTTTGCCCTCCGCAGGCGAGGGAGCTTTGCCCTCCGCAGGCGAGGGATCCGTGCCCCCTCAGGCGAGGGATCCGTGCCCCCCTCAGGCGAGGGATCCGTGCCCCCCTCAGGCGAGGGATCCGTGCCCCCCTCAGGCGAGGGATCCGTGCCCTCCTCAGGCGAGGGTTCTTTGCGCTCCTCAGGCGAGGGATCTATGCCCTCCTCAGGCGAGGGATCTATGCTCTCCTCGGGCGAGGGTTCTTTGCCCTCCTCGGGCGAGGGATCTTTGTCCTCCCCAAGTGAGGCGTCATTGCCATCTGGAGCCAAAACGTTGTTGCCCTCACCAAACGTGGTATGTTTACCCTCCTCAAATGACGTGTCTTTGCCCAGAGCCTCCGAGGCACATTCATCGAATCCAGACGAGACTCCTTTGCCTTCCCCAGGTGAGACGTCCCCTTTATTCTCAATAATGATACAATCCGTTTCATCTTGAACCAAACCAGTTCCCTCCTGGCTGTTGCATTCACAAACAAAGACATCAATTGGTCCTTTGGTACTTTTTAAATGAACCTGGATAATTTCCTGCACAATAAACAAGCAGAGTTTTAGTATTCTGACAGGAACAACACCTCAAATACTAGAGACAAAAATATGGGAGCCTGTACTACAGTTTTAGAAAGCTAACTTTTTAATTTGAAATGCATTATCCATACAAATGCGCCTTGGGACATCCTACCGCCATGAAAGGCACAATACAAATGTAATCTTGTAAATTACAGTAATTAATTTATGAAAATCAATTGTACTGGATCTTACAATGAGATAAATTGAATATTTATTATTATTAATTATTCTCTTATTCATAGAAGTTGGAATTTAGGTTAGCATTCAAACAATATAATCTACGTTTGTGCTAGTCCTTTTATTTTAGTTATCTAGGTAAACACAGAGTGAAACTCTCTATAGCACCTTATTTCATTCCCTTATCTACCAGGTCAGTTTTTTTTCAAGGTCTATTGCTGTATTTAATAGGTATGACTCACCTCTTTGGGAATAGGTATTTCTAATTTGGTCTCTTGGGGAGCTTTGATTGCGATTACAATCTGATCTTGAAAGGCTTTAATACTGTGAATGTCCTGATATGTTACGTATGCTAGTGTGTTCCTTCGTTAAGATAAACTCATTTTAAAATATTTGGAAATGAAAAACAGATTAGTGTCACAGTTTTCTTTTTATTACAAAAGTGTTTTTTCCCCCAAAAAAATGTATCACAAGAAGTTTGTTTGAAAAGCTTCCACAAGACAAGTGAAATTCACATTTGTAACCACAAACCAACAATTGGCTCTAGGTTATTTTCTCTCTTTACCCCTCAGCCAAAGCACAGTGAAATACAAATTTTGGTGAGGATGTTAAATATACTGATGTTTTCTTGTCTAAGAAAGCAACAAAAAAACATAATAATCCATACAATTGATATAGTCCCTTATCATGTCTTCGAGACATCTCAAAATACTTACTAGAATACACTGTGAATACACTGTATATTTTGTGAGCAAAACACAGTAGTCAATTGCACACAGCAGTGTGCCACAAATAGTCATGGATTGAATGACCAATTTTTTAATATTTTGGCGAGATTATTAGCCCCGAAAAGCGATCCACCAATCGACTAACAACTGGGTTCCGACATACTGCTAGGTAAACAGAAGCATGTGGAGTAAGGAAGCTTGCCTAAAGTTTCGCCCTGCTGGGAATCAAACCCAGGTCTTCTGACTTGTGGGGTGAGTGCTCTAACCACTAAGCTACAGGACCCCACATACACATTACATGTTTGCAATAGATGCCTTCCCATTAAAGAAATTATTGTTACGTTAAAAGACTTGTAAAATAAGAACTGAGAAAGTGAATGTCTCCGATTGAGATTTTCAAAATTATGACGGGAGAAAGAGGTTTTCCACTAATTGGTGAATCAGTAACAAGAAAGCAGAAATTAAAGATCACTAAAGATCACCAAAGCAAAAATGTTAAAAAATACTGATTTATACGTAGGGGTATCAGAATATGGAAATGCCTTACCACTCAGCAATGGCTGATAAAGCAGTTTATAACAGAAATTGGATAAAAATGTTGAGACGTCTCAACATCGCGATAAGGAGCTATATCAAATGCAAGGATTATTATTACAGCAAAGGAAGGTTATGAGGAATGAGAAGGGATAGCGAGAGAGAGACACACGAGTGTGTCCATACGCAGTTATCCCATTGTGGAGAGACCAAGGCCTCAATTTTACCTGTATCCAGGGCCAGAAGCACAAGGTAAGCAAGACTCTCCAACTTATCACAAGATGTTGAGTCCTGTAGCTCAGTGGTTAGAGCACTTGCCTCCCAAGCGAGACACCTGGGTTCGATTCCCGGTAGAGCGAAACCTTGGGCAAGTTTCCTTATTCCACATTCCTGATAATAATCCCTCACAAAAAATTTTAAAATAAATTGGTCACGTCAGTCCACGACTGTTTGTGGGACACTGCTCTGTGTAATTGGCTGCCGCATTTCGTCCACAAATATACAGTCAATTCACTTTACAATATATTCTGTGATGCACTTTGAGACATCTAGAAGACATGAAAAGCGTTATATCAAATGCAAGGATTATTTATTATTAAGATTCAAGGAGTCATAGGAAAACAATTGCCAAAGTTCAATTACTCAAAGAGAGATCTATAAGTATTATGAAATCCAGCAAATCAATTATTGCTGGGCCAAAAGACTGCATGCTTTTATTGGGACATTTCTTGAATTTGCTGGCACTTGCCAATCTTGTTTGATCTCCATCTGGTCACTGATACTCCCAAGAAAGAGTGCTCAAAAATGAGATAATATCCCCCTTGGGCAATATTCTCCTTTTAAGATTCTGTCAATAAATGTGAAAGGAAGGAGTCGGACCTCTAAACCAAAGGCAGAGTCGGCAAGTTTCACATCTATTATGAAAACAATTGAATTTTAATGTCAGTTACCAGAGGTCAAATGCATTGATGTAATCAACCAAACCAAAATTGGACAAACAAGAAAAACTGAAAAAAAAATTCTTTAAAGGATTCTTTCAAGAAATACTACTGAATCCAATTATATCAACTGCTGCAAGCTTTAACATATGACATTTAAGAAAAACACACCAGGAGTAATAACTCAGAACGTTCAATTAACAGTATACAAACAGTATCTTTCTTATAGAGAAAAAGGATATCTTGAGTTTTCTTCATCTTCCGTCATTTTGTACAACTGATTAGCACAATCTTTGATTAATTCATCAAGGGATTCCTCTATAGACGTTAGCTCTTCTGTCTCCTTTGCGAGTTTCCGAGACTGAGCATCGTATCCAAGCTTTTCTTGGGGACTTTTGCCTCTAATAATTTAAGCACGAGAAGCATTATTTACATATTGTTCACAGCCCAGAGTTTACATTAAAGAAAGTAAAACAGCTTAGCTTTCTTCTCTCCCTCCCCCATTGAACGATTGTTACCAAACACAGAGAAACAAAACCCTCCCCTGTAGTACAGTACTGGATAATTTAACCACTGTTTCAGCTTCCAATTGTTTTTACGACACTGGATCACCAATACAAGCTAAATGAAATTTTCAACTTTACAATCTCTGCCCAACTCTATTTAGTGATAGAATTAAGAATGACCAATTTTATTCCAGTAGATCATGTAGCCTATCCATCACGTTTCCTCAGTGGTTAGAGCACTCACCCTGCAATCGAGAGGACCTGGGTTTGATTCCCAGCAGGGCAAAACTTTAGGCAACTTTCCTTACTCCACGTTTCCCACAAGATTCCTTTGATGTAACAATTTCTAAGTCAAGTAACCCCAAAACCTTACTTTGTTCTACATGCTCATTGCTCTTTTACTAAGCAAAATCTTGTTCTTCTTATTAAATATATCTGTGTAAATGGCAGAAGCAGAAATATGTATCCAAATCTTTTAAACCTTTTTTATATTATACCTCTATCAAATTTCTCAGTCAATCTTCTTTGCTCAAGAAATACCTTTTATTTGCAGCTCTGACCTCTAAAGCAGAAACCTGAATTCTGATTTGTAAACATTTTGTGCTTTAGAACCGTGATCAGAGGCAGATTGGCTGAGATTCATTTCTTCCCAATGTTTACAGCAATTGTTAAGATACCAGTCCACACTCACTCTCATATGGAGGGGGGGAGGTGGGAGGAAGAAGGAGATGTGAGCAGGGAAGACCAACTGACCCTCCTGACACAGCGACTTCTGGAACCCATTAAGAGGGTTGGAAAAGCACATCTTTCTTATGGAGATTTCCATGTCCTCCCCATTGGGAGGACCAATACATTATTAGCTGGGCTGCGAAGTTTCAGGGGTCTAAAAGGCATTCACGCTGAGTCTGTGCAGGGGAATTGGTTGAACTACTGGCTGAAGTTTGGCCTTCTCAACATATGGTATAATCTTGAAAGGTTCTAGCATTTGATTTTACAATACCTTGCCATTAACCTCTTTTCTTGATCCCTTAAAACTTCTATCAAACAGTACTTGTTTGACTATGAACTGAAGCAGGGATGCAGTCAATGTGTAAAACGCTACAGTTCACATCTCAAACACAGACCATAGGGCTCTTAAAGAACATGTTAGGATGTTAATGTACTTCATTTAACAATGATAAATTGAAGAGATGCATTCCACGTTCAATATTCAAATGCCTGTGAGTAAAAACTGGAAGAAGTTTTCTTAAAAAGAAAATGTCACGTACACCCATTCAATTAGATTTTTGGATTTCTTTCTGACGAGATGAATTCCATCCAGTACGTTGGTGATATCATAAACCCTTCTTTTCCGTACCCCAAGAACCCACGCCACATGGTTCATATCAAGAACACCATCAGGAGCCTCTTTAATGAGCTCCATGAATTGTTGAGTTAGACGCACAAGTGATACATCAAAGCGTGGCTTCTTAGCTGTTAAAACAAATACAAACAGATTAATCTTCAGTTTTCAAAACAAAGCTATGAGAAACATCATTTCATTCTATTTCAATCACATCGCAATTCAATTAAGCCAGAAATAAAACAAAGTTGTAAAACTTAGCCCGAATTATATCAATTAGAAATTCTAGCTTGTTGCTATGAGGTCTAATTTGCATCATTCTCAAAACAGTTATTGCATTTTTTTAAGTCAGCACCAAAAAAATTGAAAATTGCATTTAGTCACTTTTCAAATATCACGAATTACAAATTGAAGTGGAAACTAGGTCAGGTGACAATTATGAACATCGCAATTCAAGATTATAGTGTGAAGCAATTTATTTTCCCTCTTGATTCCACTGTCGCATCAGTGTTAGTTGTTTGGCAACTACAACAAATTGCATTTATATAGTGCTTTTCACATCGGTAGGACGTCCCAAGGTGCTGGACAGTAAAGGGTTTAATGACAGATACTTGGGTGAATAATAATGAGTTTTTACGTTGTAGGCAGACAGGGTTGAGGCGATTACCCAAGCAATGTAGAGGTTTTTAAGTGGTTCTGTTAATTAACAAAGAACAAGAACTTGCATTTATATTGCGCCCGTCACGCAAGGTAGCATCCCAGAATGCTTGACAGTGGCGGAGTCCCAGGGGAAGAGGGAGGGCAGAGGTGACCATAAGTACTATCAAAAAAGGTCTTTAGACTGGATTTGAAAGTGAAGAGGGGGCAAGGCTAAGGGATTGAGGGAGAGAGTTCCAGAATTTCGGGATGTAGGCACGGCCACAAACGGTGGAGTGAAGCCTTTCTTTTATAATACAAATCAAAAATCTGACCTCAAATAATGGTAGAATTGATTGAATTGCAAAATCACTATCTTTGCTATCTTGTGGATTTAGACTGCACTCCAACAAAGTATTGGAAGTTACATATTCTAAGATAATAGTTCTGCATTTCTGATTCTGTGTCTTAAATAAGAACGTGCTAAAGTCCTAAATGATAATATACAAAGAGATCATTAGTCCGACTTCATGCCACGGGCTTGTCTACATTGCTGTGATATTCATCTGTAATTGGATGACAGAGTAGGGAGGACATAAATCAAGTATTTCATTCACAGCAACAGACCTCTTTGCTTCAATAAACTGATCCACCAAATTTAGCTTGGATGAGAGCTGATAATGGACATCAAGGTGTTAGCCTAGCTCAGTTTGCCTTGCCTTTGAGTGTGGTCATGTATTCAAGCCCCAAGTCAGAACTTTGAACTCAGGTTAGGTTGACACCTCTGCGTTATCAGAGGTGCCGTCTTTCGGACAGGAATTCAAGCCAAAGCCACATCTGCTTTTTCAGGTGGACACTGAAGTCACGGCATCATTCAAAATGATATGAGAGTTTCTCTCAGTGCCTTTCACATATGATTATGCCTCAAAGCACTTTTGACGAACAAGTCCCCTGGTTAAAAAACATTATCCCCTTGTTTGGGAGATTCTGCTCTGTGTACAAAAAGTACTTTGAGAGATTTTAATATTAATATTGACGTGACAAGGTGTTAATATTTATGAGCTTTGCATTTTATATAAGAGATTGGGGAATACCAATGGATATATTGTATTCTTCCAAAAAAATAGAGGGATTGGGGGATATAGGGATAGGGCAGGTAATTAGAGTTAGGTCTGAAGATCAGCCATGATCTTATCGAATGGCGGGGCAGGCTCGAGAGGCCTCAGTGTCTTGTTCCGATTCTCAGCTGTCCTTTAACCCCACATCTATCCTTGACCCACTCAGCTTTCCCCACCTCCACAGCACTACCCACCTCCGCAACTACCTCTCCCTTTAGGCCACAAGAGAGACCCTTATCCATGTTTTTATCACATCCAGGCTCGACTATGACAACTATCTGCTCACTGGACTAACCAATTCATCCCTCCACAAGCTGCAGACCATTCAGAACTCTGCAGCTTGTGTCCTCTCCCGCACTAGGCATTACAAGTCTATCAGCCCATTCTGGCTCAGTTTCAATGGCTCCACATCCCCTGGAGGATTGAGTTCAAGATCCTTGTCCTAACTTTTAAAGCATTCCACGGTCTTGTCCCACCCTACCTCTATTCCCAGCAATTTTTGAAAAGTGCCCTGGGATTGTTTACATTCATCTGAACAGGTAGATGTGACTTGGTTTAACACCTTGTCCAAACAATCAGCTCAGCTTCTCCAACAATGTAGTTCATTGGAGCGTAAGCCAAGTATTTCTTCTCGACCGCGCCTTTGGTCACCTTCCTACCCCTCCCCCTGGCTCGGCCCCGGGATCTGTTACTGTGAAGCGCTCTGAGACACCGTCCGGCGTGGAGGGCGCTATATAAATCCAAGCTGTTGTTGTAGTGGCTGTGTATTTTGAAGGCAAAAGCAGCAGACAAATCTGCACACAGCATTGTCCACAACCACCATGAAATGAATGCCCAATTTTATTTGGGGGATCATTGGCCAAGACAATAGGGAAAAAAACTCTTTTTGAATAGTGCCATGAAATCTTAACGTTCAACTCAATAGAAAATGGACCATCAGTTTAATGTCTCATCCGAAGGATGGCACCTCCAAAAATGCAACTCACTTGAACACTGCATTGGTGTTAGATTAGACTTGAGGGAGTTCAGAGTACCAATGTGGGGTCAGCCCGCAACTTTCAGACTAAGAGGTGAGAGTGCTACCAATTGAGCTAAGCTGTCACCCAGGAACGAAAAATAAGAAAATCTATTTGAAGCAAACTACCCACACACTCATCTGCCATTCAGAAATAAAATATATAGTATTTCATAACTTTAAACCATAATAACGTGTAAACTGATACCATGTGAATAAATCCAGGAAGTGCACTCAACACAATACTAACTTAAAAAGTGAATACTACACAAACCCATGTACAGAATTTCAATTCCTCCGTCCCCTTTCTTGCACCTCATTAATCAAGCATTTTATTGGCCAGGACTGTACTTCATGGAAGAGTAAACACTGAGTAGTGAACGTAAACACTTACAACGTGCATTGGAGAATGCATTTGAACTTCCTTCAAACACGGAACATGTTAGAAATGCACAAGTACAAACCCAGGCCCACGTTAGCCGTCAAAACCTTTATCAGAACCAGGTCGTTCCCTTTCAGATTGTATTTGCAACGTTTCCCGTTTTATCCCTGATTCCCTGCGGTGCTTCTGCTTTGGGCTAAACCTGGGCATTTGTTTTCTTAAATTGCATTTTTTTAAAAAACCTCCAGTCATTCCTCCCGCCCCCCCCGCCCTTCCCCCTCCCTCCCCCCGCTCCTCCCCCCCTTCCCCCTCCCCCTTGTTTTCGGGACGGTCTATTGGGAATGGACCAAACTGCCATAACTGCAGACATGTAAACACACGGACAGCCACGTGACCACAGCACCTGCACAGTAAACACACAGTAAACACACGGCACTTACACGAGGGCCGCGCCAGGCCATAGAACTCGTCCAACTTCTCAGCTTCCATCCTCGGGGCCGGATCCTCACCCCGGGGCCGGGACCTGAGCCACATGCGCTGGGAGTAACGCCAGGACCGCGGCCCCCGGTCCCGGGCTGGGCCACAACGAACACAGCGGCGCTGGGACCCACCCGAGCGGCCGCCTGGCTTCACCGTACTAGAGCCTGGTTTACAGCCTGTGTGTAGTGACTGTGCAGCCGAGCGAACACCGGCCACGGTCCCCGGCACTGCTCCGCCCCTCTCCTTCCACCTTCACGGGTTCACGGGAACATGGAGCCGCGCGTGCGCAGAGAGCGCCGCCTGCGGCCGCGCGTGCGCAGAGAGCGCCGCCTGCCGCCTCACGCCGCGCGTGCGCGGAGAGCGCCGCCAGCCGCCTCACGCCACGCGTGCGCAGCAGCCTCACGCCGCGCGTGCGCCTTGGCCTATGTCCCGGTCGCCAAGGCACCATTTTCTCACGCGTGGGCGCCATGTTGTTTGTCCCTCTTCGCGCACGGCTCGGGGTCGCGTCTGGGGGCGCCCGAAGGTGATTTTTAAAAATATATATTTATTTATTAAAAGACCGGTCAGGTTTGTCAAAGGTCCACCTGTTTCAGCGTTCCTGGGGCAGCTAGCGGCCCGCGGGCCACATCCGGCCCGACATCATTGCCAACTTCCCACTCCCTGGTGAACGTCCTCCCAGAGCCGCGCCAGGAGCCGGCGGTTGGGAGGAGAGTGGAGCCAGTGGTTGGGAGGCAGCGCGGTGAGAGTAAATAATATCGGCCGTTACAGCAGTGCCAGGAAGGCCAAACGCGCCCTTAGCAACGGCTGTGCAGATAGTGAACCGCGTGGCTGTTTGGGAGAGAGGAGGAAGGAGAGAGATTTGGGGCGAAGAAGGGGGGGGAAGAGAGAGGAGGGGGAAAGAAAGGAGGGAGATAAGAGTGTGGAGGGAGAGGAGTGGGGAGAATGTGGGGTGAGGAGAGGGAGTGAGGGGAAAGAGAAGAGGGGGCGAGAGGAAGGGGGGAGAGAGAAGGGTTGGAGGGGTTGACTCTTCTCCCCCTCACTCTCTCGCGCACACACTCTCGCGCAATTGCTCTCTTCCCTCTCACATTCCATCTCTCCCTCTACACTCTCCTCAATCTCTCACACTCTCTCCCTCTCTCAATTACTCTCTCTCACCTCCTCTCTCCATTATTGTCTCTCCCCATCTCCCTCACATTCACTCCCTCCTCTTCACACTGACTTGCTCCCCCATCATACACTCTCCCCTCGCCCACTCCCAATCTACTCTCACTGTCCCCACTTTCTCTTTCCCCCACCTCTCTCTCTCCTGCCTCTCTCTCCCCCAATCTCCCCGCCCCTCTCTCCCCCGCCTCACTCTCTCCACCACTCTCATTCTCCCTATCTTCCCTCCTGCCCCCTCCCGCTCTCCCCATTTTACCCCCGCGCGCTCTCTCCCTCCCCCTCTTCGCCTCCCTCTCCCAATCAGCCATACGGTTCACTATCTGCACAGCCATTGCTAAGGACGTGGTTGGTAAGAGACAGGTTTGCCTCCCTAATACACTGCACTATTGGCAGGTATTATTTACACTTGCCATTGCTGCTTTCCAACCATTGGCTTCAATCCTCCCAATCACTGGTTTCACTCCTCCCAACTGCCAGCTCCTGCTGCTGCCCTAGGAGGATGTTCACGGTGGGGGAGGGAGGGAGTGGAATTTGTTGGAAATAGTCGTGGGCCGTATAAAATCACCTGCTGGAGTTAGGCAGTGGTGATCAAGCGGAATTCCCTGCACAACTCCACAGTCCAGTGGCCGGTTGAAACTAATTGTCAAGAGTCACTGTTAAAGAATGGGAATTTTTGTGTGTCAGCCTTGCTCAACTGGTGTTGCTCTTGCCTCTGAGTCAGATGGTTGTGGGTTCAAGTCCCACCTCAGGACTTGAAACTCACTTCACCTGAGCTGGCACTGCAGTGCAGTCTACGCTCTGGTAGAACTGCATTGTCAGAGGGGCCATCCTTTGGATGAGATGTTAAACTGCATCACAGCTGCCTCTTCAAGTGGATATTAAAGATGGCACTATTCGAAAAGAGAAGGAAATTTTTTCCCAGTGTCCCACAGCCAACAATCTGCCAGATAAAAGGCAAAATACTGCAGATGCTAGAAATCTGAAATATGGGAACATATCACTGGGAATGCTCAGGAGGTCAGGCAGCATCTATGGAAAGAGGAAAGTGGGTTAATGTTTCAGATTGATGACCTTTCGTCTGACTGGAAGAACCTAGATGATGGTGGTACAGGGAAAATGTTACCAGTGAAGTTCATGTCTTCTAGACCTCTCAAAGCGCTTCACAGAATATACTCTAAAGTGAATTGACTACATTTGTGTGCGAAACGCAGCAGCCAATTGAACACAACTGTGTCCCACAAACAGTTGTGGATTGAAGTGACCAATTTATTATTTTTCTTTTTGTGAGGGATTATTATCAGGCATGTGGAGTGAGGAAACTTGCCCAAGGTTTTGTCCTGCCGGGAATCAAACCCAGGTCTCTCGCTTGCGAGGCAAGTGCTCTAACCACTAAGCTACAGGACTCCATCTGTATCTTGAAGTTGATCTGTTGTGTGATGGGGAGTCAATGGAGCCTGGCCAGAACTGGTGAGACGGGGATATGGAGCTTGGTCCGGGTAAGTATGCAGACAGCAGAGTTCTGAATGAGCTGGAACAATGCTTCCTGGTGTAAGATGCAATGGTAATTCAGAGAGCGATGGGGCATACAATGATAAATCATTGAATTACTTTTCCTGTTGGCAGCTATTTCAGGTAGCTTTTTAACAGGCTTGTTACTGCCAGCCATTTGTTCCAGTTTATGCCTACTTGGAGCTCCACTGGTTATGCCAACTAAACTTTTTTTGGATGAATTTTTTNCAACAAAACAACAATATCTTTTTGGTCAATCTTTTCAAAGTTTGTTGAAACAATAATAATATATAAATTATTATTAATTGATATATATTATTTATTAAATGATCATATATGTAAGACTGCTGTGCAGTTATTATCACTTCCTAGATCTATAAAGGTTTTTGCCAATGCAATTAAACAATTGAGCAGCAGAGAGCAGCAACATCTTCACATTTGAATTATTCAGATTAGAAGAGGAATATTGTAATATAGTTTTCTTTTCTATTCAGGAGTCTTACTACTCGATTATGTCAACAAACTTAGAATTTGAACAATTTTTCAAAGATTACTTGTAGAAATTAAATATTTGCTTATTGAAAACAGAAATAATCAGTGTTTTATGAAACCAAATGCGATCCATTAATAACTGTAAAATATCAGTGTAAATTTGTCTCGTTAGGAATCATGCTTTCTTTCTAAATGACTTTTTGCAATGACTTTTTCTTCCTAATTCAACAACAATTTACACTTATATAGCACCCTCCACGTAGGGTATTGTCTCCGAGCGCTTAACAGTGGAAGAACCCGACTCCGAGCCGGGGGGAGGAAAGCATGGTCTCCTTGAAACTGAACTGGCTCAAGGTGACATGTTTGGGAACAGAATGTCGGAATCGAGCCAGCCCTCTGGTGGGCTTGGTAATCCAGTTCCTGAGCCAAGTGGGACCCCAGTGGCACTGCTGATGACAGCGCTGCTGATGGCAGTACAGTCAGACTGGCTCATTGGCACGACTTGGAAGGGTAGACCAGTCACTAGGGGCAGGGAATCCTCCCATTCAGCTCCTGTTAACTCTGCAATCCAAAGCCCTAACAGATAGGGTGTTCCTAGTTGGACAAACATCTGGAAAGCTTGCTAGAATCCTGTAGCTCAGTGGTTAGAGCACTCGCCTTGCAAATGAGACACCTGGGTTCAATTCCAGGCAGGGCGAAACCTTGGGCAAGTTTTGTTACTCCACACGCTTAATAATAATCCCTTCAAAAACCAAAACAATAACAAATTGGTTATTTTCAATCCACGACTGTTTGTGGGACACTGCTGTACGCGATTGGCTGCCGCATTTTGCCCACAAATATACAGTCAATTCATTTTACAGCATATTTTGTGAAGCGCTTTGAGACGTCTGGAAGATGTGAAAAGCGCTATATCAAATGCAAGGATTATTATTATTAGACAGTGCTATCACTGACAATCTTTGCATTGCGGTTTTAGTGGTTAAACTCCAACAGCACATTCCGGGGACTCCAAGCCTTGGCTTTTGCTGCCTGTGCCTAGTACTTTGTGGAGTATTGGGTAAGGAAGATGCGTTCCTCCAGGGAGAGTGTATGCATTCCAACAAGTTATCTCTGGAATTTCCATGTGTAGATGGATAGATGGAATTCTCAGTTTAGCTTGGACACTCTTTAGGTGGTGATGGGTTTCTGCACGTGTGAGACACCTGGGTGACCAAAAGACAAACGGATAAGTAGCAGTATCACTAGCCCGAACTGAGCCAATATAACAAACCAATGAGGAGGTGTAACAGTGCCAGAAATACAACTTGCCAGCAGTGGAAACAATCTGTGTAAATGCCAAACATCATTTCAGATTTACCTTGCATGCCAAGTACATGCAGTTACGAGTGCTTGATTCATAAAGCTAAGTTCTTGAGCCATAGACAACAAGAAGATTATTTTGTATAGGGCCTTTAACGTTGGGAGGATGTCCCAGGGTGCTGGACAGTGTACAGCATTTCAGACCCTATATATATAATTATATCTACAATGGAGTCAGACAAGAATGGAGGAGATGGGTGATATATATAAGTGAGCTGGGGTCAGGGGGGGGAGAAGGGAGGGGAAGGGGGGTGACCGTTGGCATGGTCGAAGAGGAAGGTTTTGAGCTGAGACTTGAAGGAGGCTAAGAGGTTGAGGCGGAGTGATTGAGGGATGGAATTCCAGAGGTTGGCGAGGCAGGTCTGAGGACGCGGAGCCGGCTGGAGCCGGCTGAGCGGGCGGGTTGGTCGGGGGTTAGGAGGTCACAGAGGTAGGGTGGGGCGAGGCCATGGAGAGTTTTGTGGGTGGAGGACCAGGATCTTGAACTGGACCCTCTGAAGGATAGGGAGCCAATGGAGTCGGGCGAGAGTGGGGGAGATGGGGTCACGGAGTTTGGTGCGGGAGAGGACACGGGCTGCAGAGTTCTGATTATCTGCAGCCTGTGGAGGGAGGAGTTGGGAAGGCCGACAAGCAGAGCGTTTGCCTATATATATATAGAGACAACGCCCAAAAAGCGAGGAACTCACGTGATTTGAAGGTGAACGAAACCACATCTGCTCCCTGGAGCTCCCCTCCAGCCTAACCCCCGGTGAGTGAGTGTTTTGTGGGGGGGGGGGGGTGGGGTATATGATTTCACTTTGCAGCCGAAAATATTAATATGTGAAAGGACGCGAACCCAAGACACATTTTGCTTGAAATCAGTCTGCACTAATAAAACAAATCTGCAACACATCCCTCCCCGAATCCACACACTTCTCCTATTCATTCATAATTGTGGTGCCGTACAAAGCGCTCTCTGGTTTAATAGCCCACGGCAGTGACGTCACGTGATGGACAGCGCAGGCGACCAATGGCGAGGAAGGCGCCGGCCGAGCCGGGTGGGGGGGAGCGAATGCCCGTCCACTCGCACCCATCCGTCCAATGGGAGCCGGGCGAGGGGCGGGGCCTCTCTGTGATTGGTGAGCCCCGTTGTTATGGCCGAGCACGAGCAGCGGCGGCGGTTGCTCCGTCAAACATGGCGTCGAGCGACAGCAGCGCTTCCACCACCGGATCCACTCTGCTCGAGCCCCTCAGCCACACCATCAACCTGCCCGTCGACCAGGTAACGCCGCCCCCCCCCCCCCCCGACATTGACAACAGTCGGGTTTATATGCGCCTTTTTTAAAAAATTAATCGCGATTTGATTGTTTTATTTGTTGAGATAGTTTGGAGCTTCACTTGTTATTTCACGATCCCGACTCCTCACCGACTCCCCCCCCCCTTCCTCACCGACTCCCCCCTCACCGACTGCCCCCTCTCCCCTCCTCACCGACTGCCCCCTCTCCCCTCCTCACCGACTACCCCCTCCCCCTTCCTCACCGACTCCTCCCTCACCGACTGCCCCTCTCCCCTCCTCACCGACTGCCCCTTCCTCACCGACTCCCCCCCTCCCCCTTCCTCACCGACTACCCCTTCCTCACCGACTCCCCCCTCCCCCTTCCTCACCGACTACCCCTTCCTCACCGACTCCCCCCTCCCCTTCCTCACCGACTACCCCTTCCTCACCGACCCCCCCCTCCCCCTTCCTCACCGACTCCCCCTCACCGACTGCCCCCCTCCCCTCCTCACCGACTCCCCCCTCTCCCCTCCTCACCGACTGCCCCCTCCCTCCTCACCGACTCCCCCTCTCCCCTCCTCACCGACTCCCCCTCTCCCCTCCTCACCGACTCCCCCCTCACCGACTGCCCCTCTCCCCTCCTCACCGACTCCCCCCTCCCCCTTCCTCACCGACTCCCCCCTCCCCCTTCCTCACCGACTCCCCCCTCACCGACTGCCCCCTCTCCCTCCTCACCGACTCCCCCCTCCCCCTTCCTCACCGACTCCCCCCTCACCGACTGCCCCCTCTCCCTTCTCACCGACTCCCCCCCCCCTCCTCACCGACTGCCCCTCCTCACCGACTCCCCCCCTCCCCCTTCCTCACCGACTCCCCCCTCACCGACTGCCCCTCTCCCCTCCTCACCGACTGCCCCCTCTCCCCTCCTCACCGACTCCCCCCTCCCCCTCCCCCCTCCTCACCGACTCCCCCCCTCCCCTTCCTCACCGACTCCCCCCTCCCCCTCCTCACCGACTCCCCCCCCTCCCCCTTCCTCACCGACTCCCCCCTCCCCCTTCCTCACCGACTACCCCTTCCTCACCGACTCCCCCCTCCCCCTTCCTCACCGACTACCCCTTCCTCACCGACTCCCCCCTCCCAACCCCTCCTCATCGACTCCCCTCCTCACCGACTCCCCCCCTCCCTCTTCCTCACCGACTCCCCCTCCTCACCGACTCCCCCCTCCCTCTTCCTCACCGACTCCCCCCTCCTCACCGACTCCCCCCTCCTCACCGACTCCCCCTCCTCACCGACTCCCCCCTCCCCCTTCCTCACCGACTCCCCCCTCCCCCTGACTCCCCCTCCTCACCGACTCCCCCTCCTCACCGACTCCCCCCCCCCTCCTCACCGACTCCTCACCGACTCCCCCCCTCCCCCCTCCTCACCGACTCCCCCCCTCCTCACCGACTCCCCCCTCCCCCCTCCTCACCGACTCCCCCCCTCCCCCCCTCCTCACCGACTCCCCCCCCCCCCCCTCCTCACCGACTCCCCCCCTCCTCACCGACTCCCCCCCCTCCTCACCGACTCCCTCCCAACCAACGTCTGAAGCATTTTTATGGCAACGAACCGTTTGATCTCTCTGCCGCCAGACTCACCCACTGCCGGGCTCACCCCCCCACTGCCGGGCTCACCCCCCACTGCCGGGCTCACCCCCCCACTGCCGGGCTCACCCCCCACTGCCGGGCTCACCCCCCCACTCACTCACTGCCGGGCTCACCCCCCCACTCACTCACTGCCGGGGCTCACTCACTATCGGGCTCACTCACTCACTCACTGGTGGGCTCACTCACTCAATCACTGCCGGGGCTCACTCACTCACTCACTAACTCACTGCCGGACTCACTCACTGTGGGGCTCACTAACTCACTCACTGTGGGGCTCACTAACTCACTCACTGTGGGGCTCACTCACTAACTCACTCACTCACTGTGGGGCTCACTCACTCACTAAGTGTGGGGCTCACTCACTCACTGTGGGGCTCACTCACTCACTCACTAACTCACTCACTCACTGTGGGGCTCACTCACTCACTAACTCACTCACTCACTGTGGGGCTCACTCACTAACTCACTCACTCACTAACTCACTCACTGTGGGGCTCACTCACTAACTCACTCACTCACTCACTGTGGGGCTCACTCACTAACTCACTCACTCACTGTGGGGCTCACTCACTCACTAACTCACTCACTGTGGGGCTCACTCACTAACTCACTCACTCACTGTGGGGCTCACTCACTCACTAACTCACTCACTCACTGTGGGGCTCACTCACTCACTAACTCACTCACTCACTGTGGGGCTCACTCACTAACTCACTCACTCACTCACTCACTGTGGGGCTCACTCACTAACTCACTCACTCACTGTGGGGCTCACTCACTAACTCACTCACTCACTCACTGTGGGACTAACTCACTCACTCACTCACTGTGGGGCTCACTCACTCACTCACTCACTCACTCACTCACTCATTGTGGGGCTCACTCACTAACTCACTCACTCACTGTGGGGCTCACTCACTAACTCACTCACTCACTGTGGGGCTCACTCACTAACTCACTCACTCACTGCCGGGTTCACTCACTCCATTGTGGGCTGCCATAAAGTTCAGTTTTCCTGGGACATTTTGTGTTGCCTTTGCTCTAATTATTGAACTGGATTTGTTTCTCGATTCCCCTCCGCACACACACACACACACACCCGCATTATTTGTCCAGAGTTGTTTTTGAGTTGGAGTGAGCTTCAGAGTCAACGCCTCTGCTTTATTGGGGACTGACCGACAAATATGCAGAGACACTGATTTATTTTTTGGGGGAAACCCCGCGGCCGGACACCAGAGAGGGAGAGAAGAGGGGATCAATATTGTTTGCTTCAGCTTTTAAAGAGCAATTTTGAACAACTCGTGTACCTTTTTGTCCCTCATAAAACCAGCAAGAAGTTTCAGAAAGCACAATCAAAATCTGGTTTAAAGTGTATTAAAAGTTTAATTGTTTTGCTTAAGACGAAAGGCAATACAAATGTAAATACTGAGATATGGTGTTTTTGTATGATTTCCCTCCTCCCTCCGCCGCTAAATGTGTGTCTCCAGTGTAAGTCCTCGACCCTTCTCGTGTTTCCTTTCGTTTCTATTCCGCACTTCTCTATTCCAGTCGGACTATCTCTGGTTTCTGTGACTGTTTGCAGATCACTCACTCACTCACTCACTGTGGGGCTCACTCACTCACTGCCGGACTCACTCACTGTGGGGCTCACTCACTCACTCACTCACTCACTCACTCACTCACTCACTCACTCACTCACTGCCGGACTCGCTCACTCACTGTGGGGCTCACTCACTCACTGCCGGACTCACTCACTGTGGGGCTCACTCACTCACTGCCGGACTCACTCACTGTGGGGCTCACACGCTGAAATCATCACCATAACCAAATCAGACAGCCAGTTTTACATATGTATGTCTACTACTTATGGAAATTCCTGAGCTGGGAATGGAATGCACATTCCCTGGAGGGACACACCCTGTTTACCTTAACTGAGATACCGGTTACAGTTTGGCAACAGTTAATACTTGGCGTGTGTTTGTGTACTGAGGTTAATAACCTAACCAACATGGTTTGTCTTTGAGGGTTCTGTTGATGAGCCACTGAACCTATTGAATTTGATAGTAAATAACAATCCTTACACTTGGCATAAATGACATCGAAGGGAGGATGTCTCAATATTTGGATATATATATACAATGTTTCAATATATGAATACATAAACCTATGAAAATGAAACCGGGTTGTAAAGAATTTACTTGATGTTTTCATCACTTGTACTTGGTTTGGTGTACTTAGGAGTTTCAAAGAATAGAAATATAAAAGGGGCATTTTAGATTGATTTTTTTTGTGTATGAATTTATGTTAGTTCAAATACTGTTTGCCTCATAGTTATAGTGACTCCTGGTAGTAATCAAAAATAGGGGAGCGGTGTTGCGAATTAGGAGATTTGTTTATAAAATATAACTCGTTCAAAGAAAGTGATTTTGATAGGAAACTGAATGGGACTCGGTGCATGAGTGATTATATGATTCATAAAGTTAAGACTTGTGCAAGTTTTACCGTATCTAAGTATATAATGTCTCGTGTTTACCTGCTGCATTATTTTATTATGTAAGAAAGTCGTGATTTTTTTTCTCCAAAAGTTGTGGCGACAGTTTAAGCTTGTGGATTTGGTGAGGTCAGTTCACGTACCTACTGTAGTGAGTACCATTGGACCATTCATCTGTCCATCAACTCCGCACTCCCTTTAATGAACAAGTGGATAGTCCTACAGTTGAAAAACAAATTTGCTATTTATGGTAGCATATTATATTTAAAAAGTCTTGATGGAGATGGGTGGTCCGATGCAAGCACATACACACTGTAGTCATTGAAACTTGTGACAACAATAAAAAGTTGCCGTGTGAATTGAAAGTTACAGTTTCTGCAACAAAATCTTGGATTTCTTGCAGCCTTTATTGTTTACTGAAAAAAACTTTGTATGAAGATACAATATATGGTAATTGGGTTGTAAGTTACATTCAGGGCTGTTTGTTTCCAGTTTTCCTCCATTTATATTCTGTTCACATATGGATTCCATTCAGATGAAGTTTGGAGCTGGAGTTTTTAAGTTTTCTACAAGGATGCCTTCCAAGGGTGTTGGCATTCCATTGTCCATCCATAATTGTGTATTTTTTGTTCCATATTTTTCTCTTTCTCATTTACAACATTGGCAAGTTATCTAATCTGGCTATATTCATTGATCATTTTCTTTCACCTGCATGTTGCTAATTCTGAGTTTCATGCCTTTTGGCAAATGCAGTAAGTTCCGCATAACTCATCACTGCAAGGGGATACGGCTGAATGATGATATGGCAAAATAGGCAAAGGTCCTCTTTCTGTCCACAGGGTAAGGCTGTAAGAAAGTTGTTCAATCATTCAATG